AAGAGCGTAAAAAGGCAGTGAATTCTGAGAGCCTTCCTCAGCGGGAAGGTAAGTAGGGGAGGAAAACTGTTGCAATAGCATTGCAAGGCACACAATTATCACTGAAAGGCTTTGCCAGAGTGCAACAGGAAAATCATGACTGGATAGTGTCTTAGTGTGCTGACAAACGGACAGTGTTGAAATTTCCTGGGAAACTGTCATGTTTTCTTAATCTTTCAATTCTAGATGAGGTTGCAGTTTTTGGAGCCCTATAGTAATGTTCTCATTCTTTAAAAAGGGGTTTTTAAAAACATGTGTGTGCACATGTGTTTGGTAGGGAGGGAGTGGGAAGGGAATGTCACTGTTACTGGAAAGCAGCGCATCCGTCTGAGCTCCATCCCAGAAACAAACTTATTGCAATGGGAATATGGGGCATCTAGGGATGATGGCTGTCGGGTATCCCTCAGCTGTGCCACGAAATCAAAAAAACAGTTCTGTTCCGGTTGCATTGCAAAGCCACGGGCAATGTAGCCGGACAAACATGGCTAAGTAGCAGTTTTACACTGGCTGGGCAGCCGTGACCGGGAGCTAGTGATGTTAAATAAACCTTTTTAGGGCAAGTTCATGAAACCGAAAAGAAATCCCTAAGCTAGGTTCTCTGCGTGTCCTGTGGCTGCATGTGCTGTTGGACAGTGCAAGACAGGGACCGGCTCCTAATTCAGGGTGGGATACCTCTGGGAAAAAGAGTTGTGGTGCCTCTCGTGCAGCATGTGACGGCGTACAACGGCATGCCACAGGCAAGCTGAGGTTCAGGCAGATCTTTCTAGAGCAGCACTTGTGTTTACCAAAACCGGAGCTTAGCCAGCCTTCGTGGAGCCCCTAAAGGAGGAACTGGGAAGCTTGCAAAGAGCAAGCTCTGGTGTGGCGGTGGGGCTACCAAAACCATCAGGAGCTAGTGCGTGTGGTAACTGCGGGTAAAGTAAAATCTGTATTGCTCCAATAGCTGAATTTGTGAAGCCCATCTGTGGCACCAAGTAGGAAATGACTACTCAGATGGCATCATATATATGGGTCCCTTTCCTAGTGCTAGGAAGTGTTTGCAAGGATTTGGCCGAGATAATGGGTAACCCAGAACTGATGTGGACCTGGGAATTCTGGGGAAGGGAAGTTAACTTTCAGAAAAAGCACTTGGATACCAAGTTTCTGTCACACAGGCCTTGAAGGAGATGCTCATTTATACGAAGTTTCTGTTTCTTTAGGTAGGACAAAAGTGATGTTTTCATGACTGTCTATACGGTTGTCTGGTATATGTGAGAGAATTGTGGTGTACGTGATTGTAGAGGCTCGTACAGCTAACTTCTGTGGGACATCCAAAAAGCACTCAGTAAACCCCAGTCTGTTTAGTCAGATCTGTGAGTTGGCTGTGGCTGGACCAAGTAGGAATGTCTTAAGTCTTGCAGTAAAAATTGCCTTTTTTTCTGAGTGCAGATGATTAAAAAAGCAGTACTTTGAGACCTTTCTTCTTCAGTTACCTACTTTTTGGTGGTTTGCTCAAAGCTTAGTACTGAATTTCAGCCCTTGCAGGCCAAAAAAAATCCTATTTCATTACCAGGAAAATTGTAGTAAACCTCTCTAGCCTCTGGCAGACTATGTCAAAGCATGAGTGCAAGATGCAGGCTCTGCAGAGCTGGTCCCTATGAGTAGGGTCTGAGGTCCCATCTGCACTCATTTTCGGGGAAATGTGGACTTTACTGTGCCACCTCTAATCAGCCTGATATGTAGTAGCAGAATTGCAGAACCGGTCACTTTGCCTGCGCTGTGATACTTGAAGAAATGATGCTTGGAAGCGTGTTATGTCCAGTATGTGGAAGGAAGGTGGGGGGCTGCAGGGTGCCTCACCTGCCTGGCACCGCAAGGGAGAAAGCAATGGATTCAATCCAAAGCAGAAACACTGAAATAAATATACTTCATTATAATAAACCAGGTAACTAGCCATAATGTGAGAGACATTAAAGGCTTTTTCTTCATGCGTTCAGAGGCAAAACTATGAGGAGTCCCTCTGGTAAGAAAGAATGGGCTGTGTGACTCAGGGAGGAGAAAACTAGCAGCTACATCTCTGTCCCAGGAGAGAAAGATGTCACGTACGTCATGTTTGAGGAACTACAGTTCTTTGTGTCTGTTTTAGCTAAATAGTCATTTTTTTACCCTGTATAATTACAGCTTCAGGAAGTCTTGCATGTCCTGTTCAGAAAGTAGTCATATCAGCAGTTTTAGCTTGGGTTTTCAGCTTGTTCCAGGGCATGTTCCCCAAAATCCAGCTTCTTTTAAAGTCTTTCACTTAGGGGAAAATTTCTTGGGACAAGCTTCTATTAGCAGTCATGGGCCAGGTTGTGCAAAATGTTGCTTTTAAATCATCTCTCTGAAAATAGACTCAGACCCACTCTTTCAGTGACCTTGCTTGAATTTTAATGAGTGCTTGTTTGTTCGCTTGCTCGCTTGCTTTTAGGCAGGACTCAAACATAGCTCATGCCTCCTTGGTGGCAGAGTGGGCAGGTGGGGTACAGGCAGTATGAACTGGTACCACACTGGCAGCTTCTGCAAAGAAGTCAAGAACAAAAGGCAGCAAAAATCAAGTTTCTACTGCACCAACAAGGATATGCTCTGCAAGAACGGGTGCTGCTGTGGCCTCCCTTGTCTTCTTCGGGAGGGTGACGGCTGGTGGTAGCTCTTAGCCTGAAACATCGTATGAATTTTTTGCACCAGGTCTTGCACATCACATTCAGCCTTTTGCTCCAGGCTGCCCATGCTTGCCACAGGCAAGTTTTACTGCAACAATAAGCAGAGTTCAGCTGAAATCGCATTCAGCAAGCCATCCGAGTATGGACATGCCTCTGCCCAAAGACTGAAATGAGACCTTCACAGTTCTCATTAGTTGGCTGACTTTGGGAAAACAAAGATAGCCTCCAGCTTTCACTGCTCTGTGCTGACAAATGGCAGCGCTTCCAGAGAATGGTCTGAGCTCAGCTGCGATGCAAACACTTCAGGTAAAGCAAACAGCTATCTGTCGTGATGGACGTAGCTGTGGCAAAATTACGCCAGTTACCTTTCCCTCCCAGCTCCGACAGAAAACGGCTCCCTGTGTTTCACACACACCTGCCTCCTGCTCAAAGATACTATTCGCCTGGTGCAGTTGTTAAAACTATATGCTAAGGCCTGTCTATTGAATAAACGCCAACAAGTTGCTTTAGTGGATGATTAGAAGCCTATAACAGAATTCACTAGGTCAGTAGATTTGCTTTTATACGTGTTTCGTATCCTCTGTAATTCCTTCTCCTTTTGGTAATAATTAGCAGGCACACATTAATCCTGTGCATAACACCTATTGATAACTTTCGGATGTATTTTTAAAGGTAGCCCTACAGACCATACCCAGAATGTCTCCTGGATTGAAGTCCCTCTGCTGCCAGTCATAAGTCACCTCCTCAGGAAATGCTGCGTGTGCTGCAGAGCATGAAACGTGATGACTTTTGCCCATGAACTGGACTATTGCAGCAGAAATGTGTACCAAGACAGCCTGTGATCAATGAAAATGAGAGCACCACGCAGTGACCATCTGATCACCAGTAGATGGTAAAAGCTTGTGTAACGTTAAATGCGGATGACCCTTGTTAGCTTTTCACACCTTCTTCCATGGCCCTGGTAGGTGTAACTGCAGCTGCACTGCAATAGGGCACAGTTTCTGGGCAGGTAGTAAAAATGGAGCTTTTGCAGGGAAATGCCTATCATAGTAAAAAGCAGGATGTTGTTTTTTTTTAAATACCTCTTCTCTGCATATTTTCTGTTAAAACAGAAAAAAACCAGTAAAAGTGGCATCCTAAGTTTTCTGGTCTAAAAGGCTCAGACTGTTTGGCAAAGAAATCAGGGCTGGTTGTCTTTCTCACTCAGATCACAGACTGACCTACTCAGGAGGTGAACAGGGTTGTCCTCAGAGAGTCTGTCACTGCAGAAGCTGGTACATGCATGCTCTGGAAGAGCCAAGTACCATCAGCAGGGGAAGACACGAAGGAAATGGAACTGAGCACCAACAAGCTGGTCTCTGCCTCATGCTCCTGCATGGTGTTAGGTGAGTCCTTGCACTCAGACCTGTGCTTTTCCATTTCTGGCTGCCCAGTTTTGAGACCTCATGGTACCATGAAGAGAGATGCTGAGCACTCTGCTGAGCAATATCATCACACACAAGTCAGAGGGAACTGAATTCAGCCTTCACAGGCATCCTCAAGTTTGCTTTCCTTTGCTACCGACCGCTTGACTGTGTAGTCATCATAAAGCTCTTTCACTGTGAAGTGAATGCAAATGTGGAAGAAAATTAAAAAAAAAAAGGAAAAAGGAAAGAAAAAAAGAAACACACAATTATGAAGAATAAGAAAAAAGAGCACTAGTCGGAAAAGTCAAGAGAATGGTAAAAGAAGTGGCTGGGAACAGGGGAACATGAAATGGAACTGGAAAGATCTTTATAGTCTTTGTCCATCTTTTACTCTTCACCTAAGTCAGCAGTGAAATGGACTCGTGATATTTCAGAAAGAGGATCCTAGATGACAAAGGACAGAAGAAAGGGAAGTGTTCTTCACTTGCATTCTGATCCCAAGAGAGTGGGGGTCTCTCACAAAGCTCAGGGAAAGGAGGACGGACCTGGGAGAATGGAAGTAGTTGTGCACCTAGTGGTGTTCATGATGGCTTTCATCAGCTGCAATGGTGAGTAAATGCTTCAATCTATAAGAACAAAAATCAGAGTACTAAGAGGGTAGGGAAAATCTTTTGAGTTATAGTGTCTTAATTTTTTTAAAGTTGTCAGTTGTAAAAAGTCTTTATTTTCTTGTATGAAAAATAGAGCTTGAGAATTCCCAAGAGTCTTCTTTGGTATCAGATGCCACAAGGTGCTTTCAAGAGTGGAGCAGACGGGGTAGTATTGGGCAAAAAGTCAGCTCCTGTGCCCCAAAGCAAGAACAGAACAAGATTGTTCAGGACCCTTGGAGAGGACCTGCTCCGGTGTGTTAGCTGCCAAAACAGTCTTTGAGAAGCTAGAATATGCATTCTTCTAGAATTTCATAATGCATCAGCATTGTTAGCATGGTCCTGGGAAGAGGAGCTGTAATTGTGAGACTAGGTGCAGGCACACACAATTCCCCGTGGTCTCTCCTGATCTGTTGACTCTTTAGGTGCATTAGAAGAGGTGCTACTGGAATCTTTGCTTCAATTCATATGCTCATGAGGCATATGTGCCGCTCCCAGGGCACATGTGACACTGACACCGGCAGAGAAAGGTTTTGGGAAACAGGAGAAAGGTGCCTTAACAAGTTGTATACAGAAGCACAGAATTGCTCCTGACATTTAGAAAAATGGGTTGAAGTATGTTCCCCATTTTATCATAAAAACCCAGCCTTGTAGACCTCTGGCATCTGCCTCAAGCAACTTATTGTAAGTTAATGCACAATTAACATAACCAGTGCCTTTCTGGGGAGGAGTGGAAAGGGAGAGCAGAATAAGGGGGTATGGTGAGCCAGAAGAGGTGAGCCAAGTCCAGCTAAATTCAGGTAATTTGCTACTTACAAGAGTCTCTTCCCAGAGAAGCCATGGTCTCAGTGGGCAGACAGCTGGAGAGACTGGGAGAATGAGCCGGGTACCACAAAACCCATCCCCTCTTCTCCTGTGCCCGCTTGAGTGCTTGGCAGGGTGCTTATCTGGTTGAAGCAGGTATGATCCAAGAAATGCAAGTCAGAGCTGAAGTTCTCTAAAAGGCTAAAGCAGAAAGACTGGGTTTGGTCCACTGTTCCTGTTCCAGGTCCAGCACTTCAAAACAGATCCCTAAAGGCTCCTGCCCGCATGCCACTTCTGTGCCATCAGGACGGCTGGTGCTGGCAGGCTAGGAAGGAAGATGCTCAATCATCTTAGAAAATGGGCCAGAATAGAAGAGTTCTATTTTTTTTTTTTCTGTTATCACATGTTATAGATAATCCAAATCCCTCTGATCCCTCTTCTGATCTCTAACATGGCCCTTCAGGTTATTGCCTCGTCCAGCTCTATTCCCCTCTGGTGGGAGAATTCACATTGTTTGTCTGGAAGACTACATCCCAGTTTAAGAAGTGTCACTGGGAGGAAACATTTCTTTTTAAAATGCTGTCTCAGGGATTTTTATTTTGCTGAGTTCCCCCCATTCCTTCCAATCAGCTCTCCTTTAGAGTCATCCCTGCTAATGTTGAAATCGGTCATATACAGACAGCAGCTGCTCCACAGGGAATCAGCGGATGCTGGCAGCTATTTCATGGCACACAGCAATGCATAACAATATGGGAGAGATGTTTAAACAAAATTGTGTGCAGATGAATACGCTGGATAGCAAACATGCTTGATCTTGAGTGTACCAAATGCCTTGAGGATATTTCTGAGCAGTCTTCTAAATAGCTTCCACCCTTCTTAGTTTTCTTCGGTGGGAGTCTGTGAAAAGAGGAAGAAAAGAAATGGAAAACCTTTAAAGACTGACACATCAAGGAGTTGCGTTTGACTGGGATGTGAGATTTGAAGAATGGGGCTGTGCCTGCCCTCTCAAAGTCATCTGTTAAAGGAAAACTAAAGCTCCATGTCAGAAACAAGCTTCCACCATGCTCAGCCCTGGCAGTCCCCTCGGCTGTCCCCGTGGACGCAGAGCCACAGGTCCTTCCTTGCCTTCCCCCGACTGGCACCTCCTGTTGGCTCTGGGACAGGCTGTTGCGCAGAGAAGCGCTTCTCCCCGCACAGCTGTACTGCTGGGTCCTGTGAGCACCGGGGAAGTTGCTTAAAAAAATGGTGATGTTAATGAATGCAAACATGTTGTATTCATTGTTGATTGCAGTGAAGCAGTAAACTTGCTTTGTTCATCCTGCCTCCCCCAGAGAAGGTAGAAGTCAACACTGCAAGTGGTGTTGTCAGAGCATCCCGGCTCAGTGGGGGGAGGCTGTTGCTGTTTGACTCATCATGTGCAAGTGTAATCAAAAAGCCAAGCAGCAGAAGTAGGGTGTAAAGGCGGGGGCTAGAGATCAGGAATAAGAGATGCTCCTTATGGTCTTGTGAAGGCTGTAGCTGTGATGCTGCACCAGGAGCAGGATTTGTGCCTCTCTGTACCAAGAGGAATTGAGAACTGGCAAGTGTCCAGAGAGAAACAATAAAAATAGCCATGAGGTTGAAGCAACTGTTGACTTCCCCATGCTCAGGGAGATGGGGACAGGCCCTGGTTTAGCTGGCTGTGGTCTACAGCATCTCTAAGATGTGGCTGCATGCTGGCTTCCACCGCCTCGTGATTCCCATCTATCCTAAGGGCGTTCTCCTCTTCTGCTACATTCTTATTTCTTCCCTTCAACTGTTCCCTGCAGCCCTCCTGGATCTGTCTGGTGACCACCAGGTCATGGGCACATGGATGGAATCCACCACTTTACCGTGTACCTACACACCCTCCGAAGGTTTCACACAGCAAACGCTCATCTGGAGTATGGAGCGAGAGTATAGCACCTCTACCATCTTTCGGAGGGATGATTCTGGTGACCACGTCTTGTTGTCTCAGTTCCGAGACCGCGTCAGCGTCCCAAAGCACAGCCCAGGGGACGCCTCACTTCTAATCGAGAGTCTTGAAATCCCCGACAGTGGACACTATACCTGTCAAGTCACCTGGAGGTCTAAAAATAACAGCCTGATAACAAAAGAGGTGACCACTACGGTTAAAGTTGTCAAAGGTAAATCCAGCAATAAAGCCCTACTCTTGCGTAGCCAGTCTAATCCCCAGAGCATGTAGGAGAAGCAGCAGCTGGTGGGAATAGTCCTTCACACCATACTGTCTACCCACATCCAGGTTGGGTGTCGAGGCATCCTCCTCCCTTGCTGTGTTAGCCCTTCTTCTCCACTCATGGAGGTGTAGGGATGGATGGGGAAGGGCAATCAGTTAGGAAACACTCCATTCTGGATCTACCAATGGGCCACTTGAACCCATGGTGCTTGAGACAACATCCAGATCTGGTTTTGGTTTTGTGCAGGTAGCCAGCATCTCTGTGGTTCTCGTAGCAAGTGGGACAGCAAGTGGGTGTTGTACTAGCCAAATCTGCCTTCTCCACTTCCCGAGCACCCTCAGTGTGTGCTAGAAAGAACTGCCTTTCTGCAAGGGGCACCCACTCAACAGAGCAGGACCTGTGTGATACAGCAGTAGCAATGGTGGCATAGCTGGTGCAAACCCGGCTTTAGGCACGGGTGAACTGAGCTTAACCTGTGCAGAGAGGTGACGTGAGAGCGGTGCCCCCCTTCCTCCTGGGAAAGCACTGAAAGCCGGAGCGAGAACTGCCGTGGAGGGGGCAGGAACCCGCCCCATCGCAGCCAGGGCCAGCATGACCCGGGCCCATCTGCTTTGTCTTCCAGTTGCAGCCACCAAGCCCGTCATCAGGGCCGGAGAGCTGGGGCTGTCGGTCCCGGCAGGAGCCCGGACCAGCCTGACCTGTGTGGCCAGCGGGTCCCCCCCCATCAGCTACCGCTGGTTCAGGGGCACCCCGGGAGGGAAAGCCCTGCTCCTGAGCAGCCGGGCCGAGCTGGCGTGGGACAGCCTGCGGCCCTCCGACACCGGGAAGTACTTCTGTGAGGCCGAAAACAGGGTTGGGGCAGGGGCTGCGCAGCAGAGCGACGCCGTTGAGCTGACAGTGAGAGGTGAGTCCCCAGCCTAGAGCTCCTCATCTCCGCTGCACAAGGCTGAGGCAGGGAGTTTCCCCTTCCACAGTGGGATCAGACATGATGCTGAATATGAATTGTGTCTTGATTGCCACCCAGAGGAAACCACAGGGGCTGGCACCCTCCCTGCTTCGGAGTGTGCCTGATCATGGGAGGGGTCAGGAGAATGTCGCCTGTGTCCCTCTGGGATCAGGACCGTGCAGGATGGGAGCCTGGCTCCTGCCCTTGGCATGTCTTGCTCTTACCTAGCTTGTACTGCAGACAGGGTGTGGGGGAAACGGCCTGATGACCCGTCTCTCCCGCAGAGAGCCCAGTCGCACAGCAGCCCAGCCCTGAGGCCAGCAGGCACAGCAGACCCCCGCTCAGCCCCCGAGGTGATGCGCCCCAGCGAGTGCCCACAGGTACGTGACCTGGGCTGCCAGGGAAGGGCTGCTTCCGCCCTGGCGCTCCATGAGTGATGGAGAAGGTGAGTGAGACAAATCTACTTGACATCCCCTTTGGGCTGCAGATCCTCTTTGCGGGGGGATAGAAAGGGTCCACCCTGCCCCCCGGGCACAGGTGCCCAGCTGTGGGTAGCTGGATTGGAGCCCCCCAGGACAGCAGCAGAGCCAGTGCTGGAAGGACCACAGCCTGGGAAACCAGGGGGTTGGACAGCTTCAACAGAAGGTCACCTGGGGCAAGAAACCTGGCTGGGGGCTCTGTGCGTCAGGGAGCCTTACGGTGCAGCTGCTGATGCTAAAGCACCCCAGAGCAGCCAGGGAGCCACCATCAGAGAGGTGAAGTGAGAAAGTCCTGTGGAAACCAGGATGAGTCCCAGCAGGACAAGGCATTCCCTGGTTGTGCTGTAGCCACCCACAAGAGCTGGTGCCTGGAGACGTACCATGTCAGCCAGGGCTGCTGATGGGGCGATGGCCAGGGAGGGGGGGGGACGTGAGTGCCACGTGCTGCCTGCAAGACTGCTGGCAGAACATGCACAGGATGGCACGTCTGGGATAAAAATATGGCTCATCGCTCTGAGAGCAGGTCCAATGGGTGTTTTCTTTCTGTCTACCTCAGATGCGTTAGCCTGAGGGAATCAAAGCAGTGTGCTTGTCAAAACGGGGCCGGCAGCTTCAGGGCAGCAGTTATGCCCAGCCCAGGAGCGCTGTGTTGGTGAGCCCCCAGCGCTGGGCAGCCAGACGGGCTCTGTGGTGAGCAGAGATCGCTGCCTGCCCCGCTGCTGCTCGGCAGAGCAAACACAGCTCTCCCGAGGCCGCAGGGCAGGTCCAGGAAGGATTATGATGCATTCACCCTTACGCTTTGGCAGATGCGCCCGCAGCAACGCTGGTCTCCCGGAGGGATGCTATTTCGGAGGGGCCTCCCCTTGCCACAGGTGAGTGGAGTTTCGTGCTGGAAAACCTAAGATTTGCACTTGCAAGGGCAGGTTGGCAAATACCTTCTGTAGACCAAACACCAAACCTGGCTGCTGCAGGGAACAAGCCCCTGGCCTGTCAAAACATCGGGTTTTCTCCAGGCAGGCGCTGCCCTGCCGGCGGCCCATCCTCAGGCCTGCCGGAGTGCATTTACTGCCTGAAGCTTGCTTTGTGTTTCTGCCTGAAAGGGGCTGAAAACGCTCACGTGGACCTCAGCCCCGGCCCTCGCGGCTCGGCTGGGCTTCGGCTGCAGCTGCGGGTTTCGCTCAGTTTAAGGCACTTCACAGGCGTGGTG